CACACCTCTGTACAGTCAGCAGTACGACTTCGCCTTCGGACCTTGAACTTGTTGCTTTCAGTCTTACCGCTCTTCAACCGACCTGTCTGGCATGGGAGGACCTTGAGAAACTGTTGTTCCAGCCAGTATAACTCAGTTGCTTCATCACGATAGGCAAGGCCGACCACCACGTCAAGGTAGCAACAACGGTCGACCAGCCCCACTGAACCCACCCAACATCGAAGCTTATTGTTCACTCAGTAGTAACTAACGTCATGCTATCCACTTCTCATTCGTAATCCATTCCTATTGATTTTATCGCACCATAACTACTAGTTTAAGTGGTTCAACATCAAGATGCACTCTGTTTGAATCTGATCAACTTTAATAACTGGATAACGTTTAATTGATTATTGCAAATTGATCAATTGGTGCAAAGTAGTTTTCGTGCTTATTTCACTGTTCACAGTTGGTTATCTCATGTCAATAAAGCCTTTGATTTACTTCAAAGTAAAAATCAATAGCGAAATTTATTGAATAATTTCTCACGTGGTATTTTTCATATAAGTTCACTTAAAATTTGAATATAAAACACGTAGAAAGTTAATTATAGTGAAAATGGTGAACAGTGCTTGTTTAAATGTTATGTTGCTGAAATAAGACATCAATAGTAGCCGAATTATATAATGCAATCAAATTCTAGCACAGTAACAACATCTTTAATTAAGAAGTTAATGCAGGTTGTTGTGAAACCGATAGGTTGCACAATGATTAGTAACAAAGTTCAAAGTCATATGTGGTCAACAGTTAACAATAGCTATAAAGAAGTAGAAAACAATAGAAAATTGCAATAGTATGTTGAAATGAGATTTTGTGTATGATAAATCCTTTTGGATAAGGTACTACGTAATAGTTTAAAATGTAGATTACCTGTTGAGTCGCCAAGAGCTATTGTATACATTTCTCGTGAATACGAAAAGTTGATCTGATAAAATAGATGTCAGCTGTTGCCGGTCAACTTACATGCAGATATTGCAGCGAACTGGATGATCAGCGATGAGTAAATTGGAAAATTTCACTCAGTTTAAATTGATTTCTAGTGTATATCAAGTGAGAAAGTAAAAACCTCTCGAATACTCTTATTTTCTCTTTATTTAATAATGATGGATTATGTTCAGAAATTCTATAATAAACGTGTCTGATTAAATCTATGCTGTGACTAGTTACACAAAACCTGTTGAATCGATATATACTCATGGAATATCCAGAAAGCTCTTCTTATCTATTAAAATCGAAATATTTGCGCGCGATTCTGAAGGTCCTGAGTTTGAGTTCCGCGTGAGGGGTCGTGGATGCGCATTTTTGAGGAGCCCCACACTAGGACGAAACAGTCGTTCAGTGATTTCAGTCTTTCGATGGGTGGTTTAACACTGATCGATTCATGATTTCAGCGCGATATTTAAGTCACACATTTTTCTAAATAACGAATATTTAAAATTATTCCACATGGTTCTTTTAGTTGGTGACAAATATTTGTACCCACACGAGTAACTTAAAGAAAACGTTTGAAACAATACATAAAGTTTGTTTTTCATACTTTAAACTGTATATGTATTTCTAAATTATTAAATTAATTTCTTTTAAATTATGTAAACCGTTAATACTAGAGACAATATGTGTTATTTGAATGGGTTTTTACACGGTATCACGATTTCGTTGACATTTTAACTATATCCATCAGCCTATACAATTTATTTTTTCTTAACAATTGTCCTTGCTTTTACCACTATCTTCCTGTGTAATTTTCGCATTGTATTTAAGTTTGTACTATACCTCCAATTGACTGGACTAAATCAATACTTACAAATCGGTAAGTAGTTTCTATACTCTACAATAGACTATGTATCTGATCTTCCTTATTCCTTGAGCAATATTTCTCAGAATATTTCTGTGAAGTTGTAGGTTAGTCGAATAAGTTTTAATGACAGAAACGTTTGTTGTCGATTCCCTTTACAAAGCATGTGAATCCGTTCAATTAAAACGTTATTCAATGGTTCCCCTTGTTTTTTATTTCAGTTTTATTGTCATCAAAATATTTTCTATTCACCCTTAATCAACTTGACCTCTTGTTTATGAATTTTCAACAGTAAATACTATACTAGGATAAAATAATTTGTTCATTCTTTAAAAAGTTTTGATTTATTCTCCAAATGATATTAGTTTGTGATAGTAATAAAAATACCTAGAACTTTTAAATTAACTAAATTTTTACTTGAATAACCAATCTCTAATTTACAAGTTATGAACTCAAATTCTTGCCTACTTTTCAAATGACCAAGTTTTATCAAAATAATTTTTGCCTTTTAAGTTGTTTCATTTATTCAGATAATTTTTCTACTTTATAGTTCAGAATGCAGTCAGCCAATGTTAAAATGTCATTTGAGGGTTCAGTGCTTATTTCTAAAGTGAAAAACACTTTTCATTTAGAATGTAGTTAAGTTTATCTTTTTTCAAAAAATGAAAGAAATCGTTTTACTGTTTATTGAGTAATTTCAAATATATTTTATAATGCTATGTATAATCTAATCTTTATCTAAAATATCTTGGTTACTAATTGTAAACTGTAATACACCCTGTAATTAGCCTTTTTTCATTTTGGGGACTATTATATTCATTTGTAGAATAATCTGTAATTAAAAATTATTACTTTTGGGTGGGATCAATTAAAAATAAAAAATATTAATGAAAATAATTTGCCTCGACTAAATTGTTATTTCTTTTTCAATTTTACATTTTTAAGTGGTTTGTTGAGCAACAAATAAAAAGCTACAAATTCAATTTCAATGAAATTCACTATATATATATATATATATATATATATATATATATATATATATATATATATATATATATATATATATATATATATATATCATAGATACATATCATAGATAATTTCGTTGAAACTATAATTTATGGACTATCTTTAAGCGACGCTAAAGTGGTATTGAGAATGTCCACCTACTTACTAGGGCTAAATGAGAGTTACAAACTTGTGTAAAGAATAAAGATTACGACTTACCGTTGATGGTTCTGGTTAGTAATTTGATTTCGGATTTTCATTACAAACTGATATCGTTTAAAATGCCAAAATACTCTTTAATCAAATGGATGGATGAATTCCGCACCAATATTTAAGACCTGTCATCTTAAAGCTGATGGGTTAGTCCATAAATTATAGTGTCGCCAATAATTCGTATTATAGGCTAAAACATAAATATCAGTCTATGAAAAAACTGTAACATTCAGTAAGTTGTTTCAACTGAATTACAAACTTTCTCAGAACCATAAAATAAAAACGATTAGTGAATAGCTACTATTCTTTAGAATTTTGTCTTGTTAATTCTTCCCTGTGACATTATTTCTTAGCACAATTTTTAATAACATGAATACTCAGATAATAAACAGCAATAGTGATTTTAATCATGGTTTCTTATTTGTGAGTATATACATTCATTTTAATAGATTAAATACTTTATTAGTATAGTTCTATTCATATGATACTGTTATGTATTCAGAAACTCACTTAAATTCGCATTTTTGTTTGCCTTCACTTACATCGAACTGAAAAAGTTCAAATGTGGTTACATTAATAGACATAAAATCTAAACAAGTAGTATAACATAATTTAATAATGAGTCGTTTTATTGTTTTAAGATTATTAGTACCTATCTCTTCACTTCTATCGTAGACTAAGTTTTTTTTTCATCAATAAGAAACTTCAGATGTGAAGTATTAAGTATTATAAACATTATACAAGTTCATTGTCTTCATCCTGGTTTATTCGCATCAAATTTTTCATATTTGTCGTATTCGAGGTGTATGATAAAACAAACTAGTGAATCTCATTGTCATTTTTTATTCGTTAATTTTTTTGTTAATTAATGCTTCAGATCTTTCTATTTGATAAAATGTATTTGCGACAAAAAAGTAAAATTTTTAGTCGTAATTATAAAATTTTAAACTTTATTCACAGTTACAATTTCTTGAACAACAATATGTAATTTTAACACGAATGATCAAACATAGAGTAGATTTATAACCTTTGTTTGAAACTTGTCGGCAGTGTTGTCACACGAGATTGAACTCGTAACTTTCAGACCGCTTGACGAACACATCATTTAGTCAGTGGCACAGAATTCAACAGTTCATACATTGAAAATTAGTCAATCCGCCATATAACGCAACCTGCGTTCAATATTATCAAAGGGTTACTGCCTGATTGCTGGTTTCATCAACTTTACATGGTACGACTTTCCAACAGAACTTCCAAAAAGATCTGTGTTGAGCACATTATTGCTATATGTTGCGAAGTGACTGAAACGGGAAATGTGAATCTAGTTCTTACCCTACCTACTTGTTCCAAGATGCAGTTGTGGTTATTTATTATGAGTGGCTTCTACTGAATACTCCTAAATCTAAAATAAGTGTTTTTTATATGGCTAGGTAATCTCAACCGATGCAAATCAAATGTCAGATATTCCGTCACTAGAAAATATTTTCATCGTGCTTCAAACTACTGACATAAAATCATACGGTGGTTATTTCGTAACGAGGACATAATATATCCAAACGCCTGTCTCTCTCTGGTTTGCTGTTATTAGGTTCCAATGAATATTCGCTCAATATATATTAAATATGTTTGGTGATATTAACGTGTACTCGTAACTGCACCTAAAATATCACTTCATAAGTATATGATCATCACTAGTTTTTACGTATGCTACCAATATTTCGTGGTTTAATTATGTCAAGTTTTAAGCTAATGCTTTCTACCGTTTAATTTATATACTGTAAATCATTTTTATAGTCCCTTCATGTTTAGTTATTAACATGATTATATTAAGGATGAAAACATGTGAAATTATGTTATGGTGGTAGTGTGTGTATGTGTGTGGACGTAGAAAACATTGTGGTGCTTTAATAATACATACTTTTGTCCTTTATCATATTTTTTGTAGGTTCGTGTGCTTCGAAGCATTGAACCTCTAACAATAGACGACATTGTAATTGGACAATACATTGCAGATCCGAATGCAACAAATCCACCTGCTTCGTTATCTTACACTGATGATCCGTCAGTTCCTAAAGGTAGTCCAACTTTTTTCCAGTTTTCAACCTAAAGCCTTTATACAGTTTTTAATAACTGCGAGATTTGCTTTTTTGGTATTCGAATAATGTATGTATCTTTGATTAACTTCATATCGTTGGTGTGATTTTTTGAAGAGTCTCGTGATTCACAAAACAGTGATGCAATCAGCGTTTTTTTGAAATTCCAACAACTGACCTTGAAGAGTTTACAAATACAATTTTTATTCATATAAAGCATATACAAGTGATAATTTTGCTATCTCCTATAATAATATCAATTTAAATAGTATTCTACATATCTTCATGAACTCTTACCCATCATTCAGATTCAGATTTGAAGAGAAATGGACTAAACCTTCACTTCTCGAATATTAGATTGGCAAAGAAATTTTTATGGAACGTTATGAAGATCCATTTATATAGAATCCCTACCATCTGGAAGATGAATTTGATTATATCTCATCCAGTGAATCTGATGATTCTGCACTCCTAATGTTGCAGATGAAGAGCTTAATCTTCTAGGAAAAACTCATTTGAAACTCTTTTTCACGATTTGTTTACAAAAAAATCGAAACCTCCCCGACAGTCCAAAGTATTCGTTCCTAAGATACTCCGCATAAATACTAACTTTGGGGTTAACACATCTGATGATATCATCAAAAGGAAATTCTGTGCAACAACCTTGAAAACCGAGAACTTAAAAGACAAATTTTGAATCCGGCATATTTCTTATGCATCTATTAATTCACTTTTTCCTGTGGAACAAGGTATATTTGTTTTATATTATGTATTTTGTCTAAGCGAGTCCAGGGACACTATCTCACATGATTAGGGAAAGGCAACAGTGATTTCACTAAAAGTGAATTTATAGAAAATTTTGTCACTACTGATTATCCGATCAAAGTCGTCTGCTAGGTTAACAGAAACTTACCAAAAGCAATATGTTTCCGTCTCCTATGTATTTATAAAGCCGTCACTATGCATAAAAAAAACCAGAATTATATCTAAGAAAGAAGTCTCCAGCGTCTCATCATAAACTTGATCTATAAATTGTAATTATTTAGATTACCATTTTATTTTACTTTCATTTTATTTTGTTTGTCTTCTAAAACTTTTATGAATTATTCTCTCTATATAACTGTTGAAGTTTTAACCCTTACGGATTTACCTTTGTTTCTATATCATTTCAAATTTGTTGTATTTGGAGGGTGTACTCTTCTCGTAATGAGACATCTCAATACTTTACTACAGTTTTAGGCAACTTAAAATGACTTGTTTTCTCATCTTACTTTGACACAAATCTTGAACTTTACTTGTCAAGGGTACTTTGTGTAGAATATGTGAGCAATCACCTATCCTTATTAATGAATATTTATTAATGATTAGCTTTTTGATTATTAACAACGAGATACTCAAACATTTTTCCTGTGTATTTTTGTATGTGTGCTAGAGTGTTGTCTTCATTTGATTACTTTTGGTTCCAAGAGTTTAACGATCATTGTTTGATTTAATAATGCATTCTGGTTATCTAAAGCACTTCAACTCAAACAGTAGATACTTAGTATTCTAAATCAATCATGCAGATCATATACTCAACTGTTATCCTGCTATTCACCAAAGGTATATAACATGATCACCCCTGTCATCATATATGGTAATATTCACTTGTAATTAATTGCTTAAGAAATATCAGTTGTATATTGTAAAGCCATCAAATTAAAGACGTACATAACGCAAGTTTTTTAAGCTGCAAATGATTCACTCATTAAGACTAGGAACTTCAGTAGGTCTGAATGAGTGTGGTCGTTGTTATGGTTACTTCATGAGTTACTTTAACAAAAATATGAAATTTTTGTCAGTTAGTTGCAGATTGTCATTAGAAAACTGTGGACCTGGTTTACTTACTACTTTGGACCTGTCAACAATGCGTACCTTCAGTCTTAGGAGAATCGATGCTCCCTATCAGGTTTGAACTGGCGTCACTCAGCTCTACAGTTTGAGACGTTTTTGTTTGGAATTTAACGGGTCTGGTGTAATGTAGGTGGCCAGTATTACAAGATGGATTGTAATAACGCAATGAATGGATGGAATATCGGGTTGATTAATGTAACCAAGTATTTAATTTGTTCATACAACCAACCCTTTAATACTAATTGAAAATTCTTCCGGTGACTGAACTGCTAAGCAACTGGTCAAATATTTCGGGGAACTAGATGTGTCACGAATAACGTATAAAATATTTAACGAATATAGTACGACCTTAAGTTACATATATGGCAAAAATTAAAAAAGCACCAAGAAGTTCTAGATACTATGAAAAGCAATAAGATTATATTTCTAATATTTGCATGAATCTATATGTACAGATTGATGACCTTATTTATTTGCCATATTCTCACTTTTCATTGTTTCAGTCCACAAATTTCTGAAAACACTTCACTGTACAATATTTTCACAGTAATCACTATAAAGTTTGTAAAATATTAATTATATTTAGAAACGAATAATCTTAAATTTTGATATCAACTAAACATTATTGTACAGCCAAATGATGAGTTTCTATTTTTTTAATTTTCTGAACAATTTCAGATTCCATAACACCTACTTATGTATGTGCTGTGTTATATGTGAAAAATGATCGTTGGAAGGGTGTTCCATTTATTCTCCGGGCAGGGAAAGGTTTGTTTACATGTTGTTTGTGTATTCTCATTTGTCATTTATTTATTCTTCATCGAGTTTGTTGGAAAAATATGTACTATCAAAATTCTCTAGCGATTTTCCAATCGATTTGTTTAACTGGTATCACATTTGGAAAATAAGACGATAAAATATGGAACTTATTCAACCTTTTAGTTATCTTTGATAGATTTGGAAATAACAATGTAAGCCTTGTTGATTGAGGTCGAACACGTTTTAAAAATATATACACATTTACCTTTTACGCCAGCTTGTGATCTTATCTGCATTTATATGAAATAAACATGTGATGTGAGCTACTTGTTTAATGGTTTATATATGTTCTGTATGTTTTTAATTTGTACCTTTTTATTTTTATGGTATAAATAATTATCCTAAATCCCAACTTCTTTTAATGATTACATACTTATAATTAGTTTGCATTTGAACTATTATTGTAAATTATATTCTCCGAAAAAATATATCATACAATAACACTGGTTGATGATTGAAGGAAATCTGCTTCCTGTAATGTTTAACGATTATTTAGTATAATGCATGTGGTGCATATGGATAGCGTCCTGCGGTCTTGAAATACTGTTATCTATATTCCATACTGAAAACCTAAGGACATTTTACGTACATTTGTGTTTAAACGTTCTAAAGTAGCTTTGATTAACAGATCTTCATTAACAATATGTTTGTCTGTAAAAAAATTCATTATGCCATATACATTTTAGATGTCATAGAACTATTTAGAATACGAAATACTCTGTTAAAACTCCAGTCTTTCGTATTAATGAAACTTTTCGAGAAAACTTGAGACATATATGGCTACCAAAACTGTCTATTCAATATTGCTATTCTGGTTATGGGATTCGATCACAAAATCAAAGACAGAAAACTTCCAACGTTTTGCTTTTTAATATTAAACTTAAGAAATTTATTAATATGGTGAACAGTTCAATGTTTGAGACTACCAGACAGTATGTATCATCACCGTGCATTTTGATACGTTTTCCTGTATTTGAACAGCTAAATAATGATTTAATCTCAACACAAGAGTCGTACCGTACTTCAGTCGACCGTCTCCTTAACAGAAATTAAATGAATATTATTAAATTTGGTAAATGGTATGGAAATTCATCTTCCGATCAGTTTTGTACCGAGTACACACTTTTCGTTAATTATTAAAATAGTGATTGTCTCATATTAGACGTTATTGAGTTTATTTCGGTTAATCAGCAGAAAAAAGATGAGAGAATTATCATATTTTATACGTGAGTCAGCATTCAGAACTCAGGAATTTAATGGGCAATATTGTTCGATTTTCAGAGTCGGTCATGGATAGAATTTCGGGTTACTGCTATTCCATGAAAGTAACATAATATTTCTTAAATGATTCTTGTTTTTCAGACATATTCATTACTAGTATCATTATTTTCTGGGGAGCACATTATTTAATAAGAGGATAAGTATGCTAAATTAACTTAATAAAAAAATCTTTATTTTTTTAGATTATAATTTGTAAATGTTTTCTTTTGTCTTTACATCTGCTTTTTTTCTAAATTTTTTGTATGTAGCACTAAATGAACGTAAAGCAGAAGTTAGAGTTCAATTTAAAGAACCTCATATTCATCTTTTCGGTTCAAAAGAAGGTCTACCACGTAATGAATTAGTTATACGTGTACAACCGGACGAAGCAGTTTATATTAAATTGAATGTGAAATCTCCTGGTATGAAATTTCAAACAGAAGAAACTGAATTAGACTTAACTTATGCTCAGCGATATAAAGTATGGTTTCATTTTTTCTATTAATGTATTATTAAATATTATCAGGCCATCAAACTACCCGACGCTTACGAACGATTGATTCTCGATGTATTCTGTGGAGTTCAGACTAATTTTGTACGTTCAGATGAACTACGCGAAGCTTGGCGTATTTTAACACCGGTATTAAAACACTTGGAAGAAAATAAAGTCAGTCCATATCCGTACATTTATGGGAGGTAATTGAATTGTATTTTTCTTTTGATTGCACAAATTATGGTTAAATTCACCTACTGTTTTGAAACTTTCATTAACAGTTCATAAGTTGAACTGGCTATCTCAATGGATTACGTAATAATGGGTTCAGTATAGATTCATCGAAATGTCATGCGTTTGTATCTAAAACTTTGCTTATTGTAGAAGCATCGTGCTTAAGAACTAAAGCACTTTTTCGCTTACTGAATCTAGAAGGATTCTTCTATAACTATGTTTACTCTAGTATATAAACGGTTAAATATCTGTCCATAACGAATTGTAGATTCGTTTAGATGGATGGCATAGACCTATCATATCAGTTGTCAAATTTTTATTGAAAAGACACTAACCATAGTTATTCCATGTACTCATGTTTATATAAAACTAAATTTTTGAGATGTTCACTCGGGCAATAAGATTAGAAATGTGCGCATAACAGCCAGAATAAGATATAAGCCTGAATCCATTGCCTATTAGTCTTGTCTATGTTAGAAAACGTCCATTAACTTAATTACCACCTTTATCAACTCAACGTCTACGTACTCATAGTAATTCTAAAAAATCTTCAATTTATAGAATGAATAAATGATGTACACTATTGAAAAAACCGAAATCAGGATTAAATATTTATCTGTTACCTCGAGTTTTTAGTTGTCAGATTTAGATCAGTACTGAAATAAACCCAAGAACATATTTAACAGAGTTGCTATTGATATAATGTTTAGTGGCTAAATTGATTGGAGTGCTATTGACAAATGAAGTTGATTTTGATCAATGGTTTATACCATGTACTCACATCTTGAGAAAGAGTCAATTACATATATCTGTTGATTATAAAGGCCTAATTATATGATACTGCAACTATGTGCTCACATAGTAAGCTATTGCCCCCAAACGCCCTGGTACGGCCGAGAGTGGGGAGAGTCCGCTCTCTCTCTCGAAATACTCTCACATGGCCACGCGTATATAGCCTTTGCCAGGGAAGTCCTACTCACTGCCTTCATGTGGCGGGGGTGTTGTTTACGAAAATGAGAGGACGAAAAGCGAATGTCCGGCGCTTTAACCGGATTTCAAACCAATGGTACACATGGGCTCCAGTATCCTGAAGGAACAAATGGCGTATGAACCAATCGTTGGTCACCGGCTACCATGGGACTGCATCTCCTCACGATTCTCCACTGTCTTGTGGGTCAAACCTTCAGGTCGAAGGCTCGTAGTGTGGCCCCCTAAAAAAACCACCTGCTTCGGTTTGGGAACCTGGGCAGTATCACAGCCCTCACACAAATCAATTGAGATTCGTGTGGCGCATATGTATTTGGTGCCTCCTTGTACCAATATCTATGTGTTAAAATAAATAAATTGGTTAATTTATATTGAATATTACTCAGTTTAATTTATACAAATCTGACTATAAGTAAATCATATAAAAGGTGATATATTCATACATTAAATTATTTCCGGGGTCATATTAAATTCATATAAGTATTCTTTGTGTTTTAACTACGCGCCGTCGGATTTAAAGGTTTCGTACCATGTATAAGTGATTTAAGCAGTCAACAGACATATCACTTATGTACCATCAGTTACGGAAGCCACGGAATTTATTCGGTCTGATTTACTTCATCATAAATCGAACTGATTCTATGATTTCAACCACATCTATTACCAGCTAAGTAAAGTAGACTTGACACTTAAAATCTGATGAATACTGCAGGACGATTTATAATTGAAAGAAAAGCAAGTACGCCTATGAAAATTATTCTTTATATTCCTGAACCAAATGTCCGTTAATTTATTTCCATATTTCTATTCCAGTCGTAATGGCCCGAAAGAAGCAGATATTTTGTGTAAAAAAGCAGGTTTTCAATACTCTGGTACATATGTTTGGAAATCAGGTTAAAAAATATTCATTCCGTCAATTTACGATAACTGAATCAATTATATAGAAGATCCACATGTTTTAACTTATTCGAATGCTTTAGTAATTATGGACAGAACATTCGACTTATTTGTTTCTTTACAGCCAATTCGCTTTAAGATGTTATTGTAATAGCACTTTTGTAATAATATTGTCACAACAAGCTATATACAAATATATAAATCTGTCTAATATATATAACTCGAATACGATAGTAGTTAGTGTTGTTCAGTTAGTTTTATAATGCACATGGTTTTGACCCAATAAACAGCACTTTCAGTCATTATTGTACTACCAGTGTTATTTGACATCGCAACGTTTTCAACTTATAAACACCTTACACGAGAATAGTAAATCAGCGAAGTTGAAGTACTTTTACTAGTAATCTGTGGGTCCTTATTCTGTTGGAATAATTCGAATTCGCCTTGCACGACCGCTTATAGATTGACCATTTCCCACAGTACTTGGAGTCACTAAAGTTTAGAAACTAGACAAAAAACAGGTATACATGCTTATTCATGTTCACAGGGTCAGTGAAAACCATATCATCTTGGTGCTTCAAACTTGGGTTGTTTAACTAAAAAATGGATGCTGATGAGTTGTCGAAGGGTGTCAACCCATTCTCCAAAGGTAACTGGAACAGATGAATAAGCTTTTCCATAAGTTTTAGTCATTTAGCCAAAAGGACATTGGTAGTTAGACTTTTTTTGATTGACGGAATACTATCTAAGTATGAAAGTGTTTGGTAATACAAGTTGAATAGTACATTGGTGTGATTGGGCTATTTCCTCCTCAGTGACTTCAGTGAAGAGAAATCCTAAGTATCTCGTGATTCTATATTCCCTTGATATAGTACATGCAACTGGTTACCCATGGGTGCGTATATTAGTCTGCATATTCGTCAGTTGACAAAGTAGTGGTTTTAAATCAAATGTAGTACGCCTGGAGAGTTGTACATTTTTCTTTGTCTTATGAGCGCTCAACACAGCTATTATGATAATACTTGTTATGTTTGGTTCTTGGTGTATGATTTCATTACTTTTCCATGGTTAACTTCCTGTGATACAAATGCATAAACTTGAGTGAACTCAATAGCATGAAATTCATCGTCTTTACATTTGTTACTCTGATACAGAAAGATTGTTTTCATGCTTTCCTAATGTTATATACAAAAATCAAGGGAATAGCTTGTGCACATAGCCGTTATTAAAACACTTAGTAGAACAGCGTGTCTATATATATATATATATATATATATATATATATATATATATATATATATATATATATATATATATATATATATATATATCTTATATATTATTGCGGTAACTTAAGGTACCCATCGTTTAGTAGCTAGTAAACTACCATCTTCATACGTAACCAAAATGTCATGAAACTAACAACTTTTTGTTGTTGTTTAGTCCAATGCACTTCAGTTGACTTAAACGGCTGTTTGATGTCTATTATATGATAACCGGTAATATAAGCCGACTGTTAATACATGTCATTGGAGTTCAATTAAGACCTAGGGTTTAAAGATGCCACTGGCGCTCAGAGATTGACGACGCCTTTACACGTAGCACTTTTGTATTCAAAGTAAACCACCCCAGTCAAATCAATTTGAAATGAAGAGGTTCGAGGATATATTTGGAGACCTATCTATATGTCGAGAAGCGTTTGGACTAAGAGCCAGCAGTTAAAGAAGAGGCGTACCCACTTGTGATCTGGTGCGGATGTGTGAGTGAGTGCCTTCATTTGGGTTGCGTCTAGCAAGACTAATGAGATCAGAATCAATGTCGAAGTCTTCTAGAACTATTTATTTTTGGGATTTATTTACCACTATACGATTAAGCAATAGTTAACAAGGACATTATCAGAACTAAATGGAGGCTTCCACTGTGGTATGGGTAGTAAAAGACTGCAGAAACACTTGTTTGGTGCTAAACTCCATACCATATCTGTTATTCAGTGTTTAAAGTTTATTTATCACCCAACTAAATCACTTCATTAGTCATCTGCTGTCATGGTCCAGAGATAGAATTCACAGTTGAAAGCTTATGGTTTCACCTTTGAGTAAAGAGTAGCTAAAGACATACAGCATGCAGATTATTTATCACTTTTTTAACGTCTATCACTCACTGACCGTCGTAAAGCTGAGTATTCAGGAGGAAACCCTAATAATGTTGATTTTCTTATTGTACTCTGGTTAACTCAAGGGGTTTGTGTTGCAACTGAGCTTTAGAAGGTCACCTCTAAGACGCTTATACTCTAATAATGCTGTTTAACAGAATAAACCTACCGGATTGGTAAAATATCTACAGATTATAATTATTTGATACTGAAGCGTAATTTCTTTGTTGGCCTTTGTGTAATGGTTCTTTGATTTCTTGAAATGCCCAAACTTGCTGTCTTCACTAGATCGTCTGTATTCAGCCTAATGTTGTTTTTTTATTCTCAGTATTCAAAGACCGCGACTTCGTATGAATGTATGTTGCTTGTAGTTCTCGAATACCTTTTGCAGGACAAGCTAGTTTACAGTATGTAAGATAGTGTTTTATGCACGTTTAAATCAAGGTACGAGTGGGATTCCTTGTTCACCTATTGTAGGGTTCTCCGTAGAGCTGATGCATCCAAATATTTAGAATGCCGGTCTTTTTTGTGTAGGATGTTTTGGTTTAGTTTTTTTATGGTATTTAGAAGTATAATTATACGAACTAAAAATCTTAGGAATATCATAATTAACGCAAATGGAACTACTTACTTACTTACTTACGCCTGTTACTCCTCGTGAAGGAGCATAGGCCGCTCACCAGCATTCTCCATCCAACCCTGTCCTGGGCAATCCTTTCAAGGTCTTTCCATTTCTTATTCATCTTTTTCATATCTGCTTCTATTTCCCGACGTAATGTGTTCTTTGGCCTTCCTCTTTTCCGCTTCCCTTCAGGATTCCAAATTAGCGCTTGTCTCGTAATGCAGTTTGATGATTTCCTCAATGTATGTCCTATCCATTTCCATCGTCTTTTCCTAATTTCCTCTTCAGCTGGAAGCTGGTTGGTTCTCTTCCACAAAGGGCTGTTGCTGATGGTATCTGGCCAATGGATGTTGAGTATCATGCGTAGACAGCTATTAATAAATACCTGTACCTTCTTGATGGTTGTTGTTGTAGTTCTCCAAGTTTCAGCTCTGTACAGTAGAACTGCCTTGACGTTCGTATTGAAGATTCAGACTTTGATATTGGTTGGAAGTTGTTTTGAGTTCCATATGTTCTTTAATTGAAGGAATGCTTTCCTTGCTTTGCCAATCCTCGCCTTGACGTCTGCATCTGAACCTCCTTGTTTATCGACGATGCTTCCCAGGTATGTGAAGGATTCCACGTCTTCCAGAGTTTCGCCATCAAGAGTGATTGGATTGCTGTTCTCCGTGTTGTGTTTGAGGACTTTGGTTTTCCCTTTGTGTATGTTGAGGCCTACTGATGCAGAGACTGCTGCTATGCTGGCTGTCTTTATCTGCATTTGTTCGTGTGTATTGGATAGGAGGGCTAGGTCATCTGCGAAGTCCAAATCGTCTAATTGGTTCTGAGCTGTCCATTGTATGCCGTGTTTTCCCTCAGATGTCGAGGTCTTCATAATCCAGTCGACCACCAGAAGAAAGATGAAGGGAGAGAGTAGACAGCCTTGTCTTACTCCGGTCTTTACTTGGAATGCGTCTGTCAGCTGTCCTCCATGCACTACTTTGCACTGTAGTCCGTCGTATGAGTTCCGGATAATGTTGACAATCTTCTCAGGAACTCCGCAGTGTCGAAGAAGTTTCCATAACGTCCTCCTATCTACACTTTCAAATGCCTTTTCATAATCAATGAAGTTGATGTAGAGTGACGAGTTTCACTCAATTGATTGTTCGACGATGATCCGTAGTGTCGCAATTTGGTCTGTGCACGACCGGTCCTTACAGAATCCAGCTTGTTGATCTCGAAGTTGAGCGTCAACTGCGTCTTTCATCCTGTTCAGTAACACTCTGTTGAAGACTTTACCCGGTATTGACAGTAGTGTAATGCCTCTGAAGTTTCCACACTTGCTCAGGTCTCCTTTCTTTGGAATCTTGATGAGGTGTCCTTCTTTCCAGTCCATCGGCACTTGTCCCTCTTCCCAAATCTTCTTGAATAGAAGATGAAGCATGCTTGTAGTTACTTCGATGTCTGACTTCAACGCTTCAGCTGGTATATTGTCAGGTCCTGCTGCTTTCCCGCTCTTGATTTTTCTGATGGCCATTCTGATTTCTTCGGTCGTTGGTGGATTGACATCTATAGGGAGATCTGTGTGTTCTGCTTCAATGTCCGGTGGATTCATTGGAGCCGGCCTGTTCAGGAGTTCTTCGAAGTACTCTGCCCATCTGTTGCGCTGTTGTTGAATCTCAGTGATTGGTCTTCCTTCTTTGTCCTATATTGGTCTCTCTGGTTTACTGTATTTCCCTGCTAGCTTCTTCGTCGTATCGTAAAGCTGTCTCATATTTCCTTCTCTTGCAGCTTTCTCCGCCGTCGTTGCTAGTTCTTCCACGTATTTCTGCTTGTCGGCTCTAATGCTCTTCTTCACTTGCTTGTTTGCTTTTATGTATTCAGCTTGTGCTTAGACTTTCTCTGCTCGTGTTCGGCTGTTGTTAATTGTTGTCTTGTTGTTCTTTCTTTCTTTGATCCTGTCCAGTGTTTCTGTAGAGATCCATTCCTTGTGATGATGCTTCTTGGGGCCCAAAACCTCTTGACACGTTGAAGTTAATGCTTCTTTAATACCTTTCCAGTTATCCTCCATAGTAGATTCTTCTTCCTTCAGTAGATCTTGTAGGGTTTGGAACCTGTTGTTGAGGGCTATCTTGAATTCCTTGAGTTTGTCAGTATCTCGAAGGAAGGCTGTATTGAACCTTTGTGGTGCTGTTTGTCCAGTTGTCCAGTTCTTCTTTAGCTTCAGTTTCAATTTGGCCACAACTAGGTGATGATCTGAAGCTATGTCCGCTCCTCTCCTGGTTCTCACATCTCTATTGTCCTTCGGAACTTTTTATTGATGCAAATGTGATCTATCTGGTTCTCTGTGGAGTGGTCCGGTGAGATCCATGTAGCTTTGTGTATACGTTTGTGTGAGAATATTGTGCCGCCTACGACCAATTTGTTGAATGCACACAGATTTACAAATCTTTCCCAGTTTTCGTTTCTCTCTCCTAGTCCATGCAGTCCCATGATACCTTCATATCCTGTGTTGTCCATTTAGACTTTGGCGTTTAGATCTCCCATCAGAATGGTGAGGTCCTTTCTTGGGCACTTCTCTATGATTGATTGCAGCCTCTCATAGAATTCATCTTTAATGTCGTCGTTGCTATCATTGGTAGGTGCATAACATTGGATAATGTTCATTGTGATCCCCTCCTTCTTTGTTTTGAATGATGCTTTGATGATTCTGGATCCGTGAGATTCCCATCCTACAAGTGCATTTCGTGCTACTTTGGACAGCATTAGAGCAACTCCCTGAGTGTGTGGAGCATTTTCCTCTTCGTGACCGGAGTATAGCAGCATCTCTCCCGTATTTAACCTTTGTTGTCCAGCTTGGGTCCAATGGGTTTCACTGATTCCCAGTACTGCCAAGTTGTATCTCCTCATTTCCGTTGCTATTTGACTGGTCTTCCCGGTCTCCCACATTGTCCGGACGTTCCATGTACCTATAAAAATTGTTGCTCTGGTTGTTAGAAGGGGCATCGGCCTCGTGGCTTCCGAAGGAACTCGACTTTCACCATGAAGCGTCATATTACCTCTAAATCCCAGGGCAGAGTTTAAATGGTTTGAGTTATTTTTTCTGGTTAGCGTTTTTTTAGCGAGTTAGGTTTCTACGGGATGGGGACGCTAACCCCATGCTCAACCCTCCTCCTTTACCCGGGCTTGGGACCGGCAGTATCTCTGGAAGAGTTACAGGCGGAGTTAAATGGAACTAAGTGAGCACAAATTAAAGTACCGTATTTGATATGAAGCACTACGGAATCAATATTTCATATAGGCACCACATTCTTTTGATGAAATTAGAGGCTAAGACGTCGGGATCTGGAGAGCCATAATTGACAGTTTGCCAATTAGGAATTCCTCGTTTGTATATGTGCAGTCAAAGCACGACATCTTCTGCTCGTATCGCAACTGAGTTGTTATCTTCATTTTTTTTAATTACCATAAATCTTCAACGAGGTTGAAAAACAGAGTTTTAATAGAGTTTTCACTCCTTATTTGCATGTGTCACCTGTAAGTGATTCTGGAAAGATTGAGGTCTCCTACAATCAGGATGTAAGTGTATCCTCCTCCTTCATATGATCGTCCTGCTCACTATCAGCAATGGGCTTTCTGCAAATGGTTCTAACTCAACGTCTCAAGGTTCGGGAAAATCTTACGAAATATAATACAAATTCAACAAGTTAAGTCAACTCCAATGTGTACAATTGTTGTGCCACTAAGAAAGATCGTAGGTACGGAGGCAGTTTTACCCTTAATTCCTGTTTCTTTAAGTTGTGGAACAAAGACCTATTGGGTATCGCCAACTTCTGGTCCGTAATCCGAGAAGAAGATAATGCTTATGATGTTCTTATCAGATTTCTAATATTGTCATTACCCGGTTAACGCGACATTAATTTTTTTTCGGTAAACTCGCGGCTTTCGTATAACGCTTTCAGTTTGAAAAAAGTGAACCTCCTTGTTTTGTATGTCTGATCGAGTTTTATGTAAATATACAGGTGATAAGTCTCTGTTTCTTCTACACTTTTCCCTGCATTTAGCAGTCCGCAAGTTCTCTTCAGTACCTAATTCTTGAATTATGTTACCTGTCCAGATGCATGTGGGGCGTCTATGGTGAGGAAATCAAATTTACTGGGACATTATCGCCGTTGACAATATGGCAGTGATGAGCTTTAGCCTATCCTTACAAGTTTTGATGAGTGTTCCATCAATACTAATGTAATCAAAGACCCTCTTTCTAACATCACTAGGCGTCATTTTTAGCCGTTTCAGGACTATATTTAGGGTTGTTGATGATCATTTATTTGGCATATCAAGGGAATAATACTGTAGCGGTAAATAAATTCCCAAAATAAATAGCTCTGTAAGTTTTCGACATTGGATGCTGACCATAGTTTTTAATGGACTCATCTAGCTGAAGGCGCTATGTCATGCATCAGCACCAGATCACGTGTGGGAACGCCGTGCTCAGCATCTACTGCAATCGCTAGCCAGATTAGATCAGACGATCCTCGATATATTGATAGCTTATCAAATATATCTTCGAACCTCATCGCTTCTGTCTTTTTATTTCACTTGGTAGGTACGCTTCATATTAGGAGGTGTTACTGGTTAAAATGTTGTCAAACTCCGAATACCTGTGGCATTTCCAATACTCTTCAGAAAATCCTCAGCACCTATGTTACATGAGATACATGTCTACTGACGGTCAGATTTACTAAGTGTATTGTTAGCAGCTGCTATAAGGGTTGTCGTGTCAAGTGAAACCAACTTTTCACTTGTCACATTCTATCCTATGAATGATGGAAAACGTGCATCGGAGTCGTTTACAAGTGATCTTAGTGATCATGGTGAAATATAAGTTGTTTAACATATTGTTGCAGGAAAACAACATTTATGATATGAATAAAATGATTTAGAACGGGTAGTATAGATGTTTGTACATAGTAAAGCCAGTTTTGACGTCAAAAATCACCATGCTTTCATCTCGTAAAGACACAGGATAAAAACTATTTAACATGCACAAACATTATAAAATATAACTTGTGATGGAAAAAAGGCTGTTAATAGCTGACGACAATGTGTAACATATGCGCGAAAACCCATGGCTTACCCCAGTGCCCGTTGCAGGAAAGGAACGTTCGTAAAACGTGCGGACGATTTGGTTAGAAAAACTGTAGACATCGCTTCAGTGATTCCATTTTAATTTGTTTGTGACAAAGTTATCTTTTTTTAACATGTCATATCACTGATTATTTTATTGGTTGTCATTATTTGGTCACGTACAACATAAAGTTTTGCGTTACTCGTATGACCTTGGTGTAGGCGTCATCTTATTAAGCTTAGTATAAAGTACTAAGAGGGCGTAGTTCTACAACATTCATGTTGTAGTCGTTTGTAAGTTCGTTCAAATGTTTGCTACTTACCAGTTTTAGTCAGAAAAACCTATCTTGAAACAGTAATTCACCAAGTGATCCAACTAACTTTTATGGGCTACACAGTTTCGTATATTCATCTGTATCTGCATAATATATATCAAGAGATGCAGAAATATAAAAGATATTCCTTTTATTTTTCATTGTCAAATTAGATGACCCCCGTTTTTCATTCTTCGTAATAATCTCACTAGTTAAGATTATTTCTTGCTATCTTGCGTCTTTCCTGTTTGAAAACACTCGCTATCTAATATACATCTCAATTTGAGTTTTGAGGAACAAAAACATCGTTGCCTTTTTAATCAGGATTTTAACCTCGTTTGCGAGTACGACTAGTGCACTTTTTGTCGACCTACAGGCTGTTCAAATGTCATTTAATCAACAAGTAGCTGGCGTAAACGAAGTGACATGTAGTTTATAGGTCATGCGGCTGCATATTTTGTTAGATGTGTTGTCTGTGGTGAATAATGTGCTCTTCTCAGAAGATCGAAGTACTTCTGTAAAACCCTCTATATTGAGTGGTGAGTAATTAAAATCGGTCACAAACTTATGTACTGGGTTCCTATGTAATGCTTGTAATAGTTTCAAACAATTTACCTGTGTGTGGTAATAAATAATGACTTATATCAATTACGGTTTCATTCAGTGACACCACTGGATTGTCGTCGAGGCTGTGTTGTGCAATACATCAATTCAAGCAATTTCTTCTGATTGTGGCAACTGAGCACTTCAGTCAAAATATGTCATCTTCAAGGGATAGATCGCACCTAGTTGCAACACTACGTGCTCATGCATGGTGATGTTGGTCCTCTAAGGGCTATTACTAGCTCTACTACTCTGGGATATGCTCCGACAACTTGAACCGGCATACCTATGTGCTAGATTCTACATGGCAGCTTACTATAGGATTGTCATATAAAAAATCTGCATATGCGTTTAATTAGACCCTTCCGCTTTTTTGTTATCGACTCCTTCTTGCTATTACAATGTAAAGTGTGACAAGTTAGGCGGATGCATAATTGATCAGTCTCCCATACTGTTAACAACTGACTACCCTTTAATAGTTTCATAGTTACCTTTATTGCGGAATATCTATATAAAGCCTGTTTGTTCAACAAGTTCTGCACTGTACTTGAAAAACCTGCTTCCTCCAAAGTAAGTGTTCCCACTTGCATTCTTTTGTTCGCCCATGACCATACCGTGAGACCACCTGCATTCAGGTATGTTAATTAAGATTTAGTTTGCTCTTAAGCGGATTATTGATGCAAAAGTCACCGTTTTTCTCTTAAACCTGTTGCAATTATCCTTACAGTACTTTACATCCTACTTATTAGTGTTTTTTTCTCTTAAACTATACCCAGCCTAAAAACCTGTCTCTTGTGTCCAAATTATGCCGAAAGTATTCAGACCATCGATAAAACAAGCCAAGACACATGTAAAAACGTACATTTTTATTATTACCAAAGCAAGGTTTCTAATAGAAATGAAGTTGAAACCCAAGAAATCAGACCTAATCAAGTGTTCGACTCCAATCCGTCGAAGGAGTCATCACCCTGCACTATTACTACTGAACCAAGGCCAAGGTAACAAAATCCGATAAGCCTCATTTTCTCAGTTCACCACTTCCTTCACAGAATCCGTGTGAAGCTCCTAAAACAGCTACTCAGAGGTAACATTTTTTTAAAGACAAGTTTATTTTTAGATTGACCGACCTTGACCTAGATGTCCATGTTAATCCTGAAAGACCTCAAGTATCCAAGGAAATAGTAGACCTATTTGTTTCTAAAAAAGTTGTTGTCTAATCTCTAATAATTGATTTTCAAAATTTACAGCCTCGCAAAACGAAAGTAAAGATAACAGAAGTACTACCGCCTGTAGATCAACCTCTTGATCGAGCTTCTGTCACTCTTCGCTCTTTACTGCATTGGGTCCCTACAAATAAACCACCTCCAACGTAAGTCTTTTTTATAAAATTTACTACTAGAAAAGTTATCGACAGGAGCGCCTTAACTCCACTACTTGTTCACTAAGTGGGGACGTGGAAGCAAGTGATAATGACCCCAAGTCAAATGACAATAATACTGAAACTCCTGATTTGAAGGAAAACTCCTCAAAATGTCCATCCAGTGATGTTTATTCAGACCCATTAGCTCCTCAACTACGAATCGATGCTAACGGAAATATTGTGTTGGATGAAACCAGTTTATTAGTTGAAAAACGAGAGAATTTCGATGCAAAAACTTTACGCCATATTAGTGAAGAAACTGGCATACTCAGTGTTGACTATAGGAGTTTCCGACCTCCTCGTGATGGTCATGGAAGGAAATGGACAGAGCGTGAGACTACACGATTCTACAGAGCATTGAGTACTATTGGAACTGATTTTTACGTGATGGAAAAAATGTTCCCTCGCCGGAAGCGATCAGAACTTGTTGTAAGTTGTCCACCTCCGTTGATTTTTATTCCACTCACTTTTGTTCTTCTAGTTTTTTATTTATTTTCTATTATTATATCTCCGTGTTGTTGTGTTTTTCGAAATTCTTTTCTATTTTATGATTATTATGATAAGTAATTGTTCATATATATATATATATATATATATATATATATATATATATATATATATATATATATATATATATATATATATATATATATATATATATATATATACCAAACTCTTTAACAATGATACGATGTACAACTTAACACAGTTCTCCATATCTTCAAGTTGTCACACTTCGAACCAGTACAGAAAAAGGTCAATGAGTCCAACACAACATAAAATACGCTACATGTGTATATCGGTTCAATTTACCGCAGCCCATTTGCATAGCTAAATGAAATAGGGAAAATTCAAGAATGGTAGACGTTGTAACAATATTAATGGTAATGTAAAAAAATTGGGCATCGAATATAAGATTCGAAAAGTATAAATTAATGAAATAGAAAGAAAAACTACAAAGAACCTAGGAATTTTGGAATGACAAGAGACAAAGAGTCAGTCAGTCAGCTGCGACGTAGGACCAGGCACATATATGCATCGGTCCAAGTTGCCATACCGCATTAGCACAACAAGATGAACACCGGATTCATAGAAGTAGTTAATTAAATGGTGTTAATATATAAAAGAAAGATTGCATATAAAGAGATAGTACAGGAAGAAAGAATTCGTTCGTAGAAAGAAAGATATGAAGCGATTTTAATCTCTAAGTTTAAAGGAAGATAGGGAGTGTATACACCGACGCCATTGTGATCGATTCTGAGCCATGTCACCAAGAGTCTCCAACCATTGGTTACGATAGTCACGCTGACCCCAACCAGGTAGTCTGCATCTACCAACATGGCTCAAACCAGAAGTTAGTGTCTTCAAGCACTGATGTCACGTTTTGGTTTGACCGCCCCTAACTTTCTTCCAATTATCCCTAACACCAGTGAACATTGCGCACCGTGGTAATCGGTGTTCAGGCATACGCAACACGTGGCCCAACCATCTCAGTCGATGAAGATTCATAACCTTATCAACTGATTTACCATCATCTCCTAATAACCTACGTCTAACCTCACTATTACTTACCCGGTGATCCCAGCAGATGCGAGCAATATTTCTAAGGCATCTGTGGTCAAATACTAGTAACTTACGAGTATCTTCTACTCTTAAAGGCCATGTTTCACAGCCGTATAGTAGAACGGAACGAACTGCCGCGCAGTATACTCGTCCCTTAATTGATAGACGGATATCTCGCCTTCGCCATAGATGACGTAAGTTGGCAAAGGCCAAACGAGCTTTTCGAATCCGTGCTGAGATTTCGTCAGTGCAATAGACCTTGAAGAAATCCATTGGTTCTTTGTAACCCTGTGGTTTAAATCACTGGTAGATGTCACTGCTGTTTCCACAGCTGATTGTATAACTTTCCAAGCAACATCTGGGTCAGCCTCGTTTTCAGAACTACATAAGTGTGACCTCAGTTGTTCTTGGAACCTATTTTTGCTTTTCTCGTTACTCTGTTCAGTCCTAATGGGTCTTTTTAATGTGGCTTTTTTGCGTCCAGTGAGGCGCAAGCAGATGTGTGCTCGTATTAGTGCGTGGTCGGAGTCCAAACAGGTACTCCAGAATGAGCGGCAATATTCTATCGACCCTCTCTAACAATGACTGATGACAATATGGTCTATTTGAGTCCATCGTTGGTTTGGTGCAGGGGGTCGCCATGTTAGACGATGTTCTCTCCTTATGCTTAAAATTTGTGTTTGCTAAAAATAAATGATTGTCTGAGCACAGTTGCAGCAGACGATCACCATTATCTGTTCGCTATGCCAGAATACTAAAATACCCACCTAAATGTCTTTCTGTTTGACTTAAGCTGCCTACCTGAACATTAAAGTCACCTGCTACGAGTACTATGTCTGAGCGTTTAGCTTTCTGAAGAAGTTCAGAGAGTTTTCTGTAAAATTCATCTTTCACTTCATCCGAGCTGCAGTCAGTGGAAGCGTAGGCAGAAACGACGAAAAGGCAACGACGTGTGTCCCTATCCTTTCGAGTTCTTACGGAGCCGTTTAGCCGAACAGCGTATAGACGACTGTTAACGGGGATCCATTCTAATAGCGCTTGTTCCGCCCTCATGCTTAGTGCTATGCATACACTCACCAGTCCACGAGAACTAGCCATCGGGTCGCCAGATACACGGAGGGTGTATCTCGTCGGCTCTCAGTTTTGCCGAGGTGAGGTCAAGTGAATGACGACACTATGACCCTGTATGCGTGTTTCAGAGACACAGCATACATCAATGGTACGAGATTCTAGGGTTTTAGCCAAAGAAGCTTGCTGACCGATTTGGCATAGTGTGCGTACGTTGAAGGTTCCAATGTGTACTTTGGAGCGAGGTTCGAGTAGACCTGGGACAGCGTTTTGCGCACAAGAATCGTTTGCTGTGGTGACACTTGAGGAGGAAGCCGAAAGAGGAAGTTTAGAGTTGAAAGTTGACGTAAAAGGAATAATAGGAATTGAAGAGGGATGTTGATTATGAATACAGTGGTCTTGAGTGCTGTTAGAGGTATGAGGGCGGTTATCACTTCTCGGTTGCCCACACCGTGGAAGGGTTCTGCTGGAAGTGCCTGAAAAGGAAATTGGATTAGGGGTGGTCTTAGTGACCTGAGAGCGTGACCGCAGTGCCCAAGGGACAAATGCTTGAGGTCGCTCACACACGACCTTTTTGTGAGTAGTTTTTGTGTTAGCTCCGTACTTGTTGAGACCTTACCGCCGGAGACGGATATTCGTGGGATAAGGCGAGGTGTGCATTTTTAGGGTCGACCTTTTCTAACCCCACCCCTCCTTATGGGAAAGCAGCATTGCTGTTATGCTGGTTGTGTGAAGGAAACACCTTACTGCTGTCACACCTCTGTACAGTCAGCAGTACGACTTCGCCTCCGGACCATGGACTTGTTGCTTTCAGTCTTACCGCTCTTCAACCGACCTGTCTGGCATGGGAGGACCTTGAGAAACTGTTGTTCCAGCCAGTATAACTCAGTTGCTTCATCACGATAGGCAAGGCCGACCACCACGTCAAGGTAGCAACAACGGTCGACCAGCCCCACTGAACCCACCCAACATCGAAGCAGCACCCACGGACCTCCCAATCGATGTTGGCCCACCAACAATTGAACAAATCAGCACGGTCAACAGACCAACAGGCAGGATTCCGTAAGGATAGATCGTGTACAGACCGAATCGCAACTCTTCCGATCATTGTGGAACAATCAATTGAATGGAATTCATCACTTCTCATCAACTTCATTGACTACGAAAAGGCATTTGACAGCGTGGACAGAACAACACTATGGAAGCTTTTTCGACATTATGACGTGCCTGAGAAGTTAGTCAATATCATACGGAATTCCTATGATGGATGAAAATGTAAAATCCTGCATGGAGGTCAACTGACAGACTCATTCGAAGTAAAGACCGGTGTCAGGCAAGGTTGCTTACTCTCACCCTTTTTCTTTCTCCTGGTGATCGACTGGATCATGAAGACGTCAACATCTGAAGGTGAGCACGAGATACAGTGGACATCTAGGATTGGTGCAGAATAATATGAATTCATTTTATTTCGTTAGGTTCTCATCAGCTGCTTACAACCTAAAATATTTGAAATTCAACGTTGTTACAGATATTGACATACTTATACATCAGAGTTTAAATGGTTTGAATAATTTTTTCTCTTTCTCCTGGTGATCGACTGGATCATGAAGACGTCAACATCTGAAGGTGAGCACGAGATACAGTGGACATCTAGGATGCAATTGGATGATCTAGACTTCGCAGATGATCTGGCTCTCCTATCGCATACGCAACAACAAATGCAGGAGAAGACGATCAGAATAGCAGCATTTAGGTCTCAATATACACAAAGGGAAAAGCAAGATTCTCCGATTTAGCACAACATGCACGAATCAAATCACAATTGACGGAGAAGATTTGGAAGATGTAAAAACCTTTACATATTTGGGCAGCATCATCGATGAGCACGGTGGATCTGATGCAGATGTGAAGGCACGGATCGGCAAAGCGAGAGCAGCATATTTACAACTGAAGAACATCTGGAACTCAAAACAATTGGCAACCAACACCAAGGTCAGAATTTTCAATACAAATGTCAACACAGATCTACTGTAAGGGCGGAATCCTGGAAAACCACGAAAGCTATCATCCAGAAGATACAGGTGTTTATTAACAGTTGTCTACGCAAAATACTTCGAATCCGTTGGCCGGACACTATTAGCAACAACATACTAAGGGAGAGAGCAAACCAGATACCAGCGGAGGAACAAACCAGGAAGAAGCGCTGGAAGTGGATAGGACACACATTGAGGAAAGCACCCAACCGCGTCACAAGACAAGCCCTCACCTGGAATCCTCAAGGTCGAAGGAGGAGATGAAGACCAAAGAACACATTACGCCAGGAAATAGAGATAGACATGAGAAAAATGAACAAGAGATGGATGGAACTAGAAAAGAAGACCCAGGACAAAGTGGGTTGGAGAATGCTGGTCGGCGGCCTATGCTCCATTAGGAGTAACAGGCGTAAGTAATTTATTTGTTTTAAAAAATATCCAAGCCACTTGACTTATGGAGAGTTCAGAACTTTGTCAACCTGATTTACACTGTACTCTACGCTTTACTTATCCATTGCTCAGCTGCTAGCTTTTTCAAGTGGAACAATGCTTTAAAAATATTCTGGTCAAACACTCAACTATCCTATAAATCCAGTAAAATAATACAAAGCGAATAACTGCTCAGTGCAGTCACTCTTGGACAGGCATTTAAATATCTCACTTGTCCCATATAAGTTGTAAGCTGGCAAAGTCGATTACGTATCATGTGTTTATGCCGATGTTTCGTTAGCCGCTATTTCAGCAGGGACAATCAGACTTAGGATAAATAAAGTGGTTAATGCTTTTAATTTATCCACCCTGTGTGATCAGACTAGATTTTGGCTCAGACCAGTGCTTTACCTTATTCTAAAACTTTCGTTGCCCCTCAAGGCACTGAAACGATTGTTCAGTCGTCTTCACCCGTTATTACCTATCTCACTCGTATACTCTAAATCAGTGGCAGAAGCAGTAGGTCTTAAGTCATTTGTTTTGAGAAAACAATATATACTTATCGGTTGCCTAAATCTACGTGTAAGTAACTGAGTTAAAACCATTGATTCCAAATTAAATCACTCACCTCATTTTTAAAGATCTCTTGACTTAAATTCTAATGTAATAAGCTTGTACTATGGTCTGTAGATATAGCCTTCAGATAAATTATATTGCTTCTTTCGACCTTTAAAAGTAAACCAGGAGGATTTATAATCGTAATAATGTTTTTATGGTGACTATTTCTTAATGATCAGGATATTTTTACCAAGTTCACTAACCTAGCACTGAACTATAGCTGATCAGCAGTGGATCAAAAAGCAGATTGTTTTCAGTGTTTACTGAAGCAAATGAGGTCAATGAATATGTTGAGATAGCAAACTACATTTCTTGTAATTGAATATTGCTCTTCATTTTTAAAGTCTTCGAAATATTATTTATTGTCGACACGCGGGATGTAAATAATTTGTAAATACCACAGCTTCCACTTTCATTTTTCCCTTCAAAAGATGTTGCTTATTATTGCCGTTCACTGTTCCAATTCATTTTTTTCAATATTATTGTGTACAGTAGAGGTTCTTATCACACCAAAAGTTGTAGTAACTTTCTGAAACTTCAAGAATAGTGCGTTTAAGCTATATTCTACAGTTTTTATAGCTTCACGTTGATTTTATCAAGCAATTAAGAGTTCGTCTTTTTTGAATCTACATTTTTCCAAAGAGCAAATTTAAACGAGAAGAAAAACGCAACCCTTATTTAGTCAACCAAGCATTACGTAAGTTGAAATCATATTAGAAGTCATTTTCGTGCTAACAGGAAACCGTCGTACTTACGATCTTATTAATCTGTTTCCGTCAAGTGATGAAGAAGAAAATGTGAAATCGGATAAATCTTCAAAAAGTAATCAGAAAAAATGTACGTTTACTTTTTGTCTCATTAGTACTGTTTATTCCATTTGTTGTTACTAAGTTTTCTTTGAAAAGTACGGCTGTCATTTTGCCGTTTACTTCACGAACTGTTAGCTGCACCACGTTATCATGGTGTATGAATTAACGATTTAAGCAATATTTCTAATCACATCTCGGTTAGTTATTCACTATTTCAAAACTTTACCAACTATATATATGTAGTCCTTGTTTTGAATAGCGTTCAAATGACTTTTGTGTGTCTATATTTGACAGTTAATTTATTGACTGAGTATTCTATGTAACTCGGTTTAATTTCTTAATGTTTATTAGTTTTACTCCCATAGTTGTGTTCTACGTGATTGGCGTTCTTAATTCATCTAGGAGATGTTTAATCTCATTGAAATAAATACTACATTGTAGTAAGATAGCAATGTATCACTTCTTGAACCTGCTTTTCTTGTAATCCAACTTGTTTATCTTACATATCATTAATTAATGCAAATAAACGTAAGTTGGTGACTTGTAATACCTATAGTTTGGAATTAAAAGTGAGATTCTTCTGTCTTAATAACCAAACTCAGATCTCCAACTTTGTATTTGTATCTTACAAAAACCTCGTCTATTTTTTCGTAGCATGTCATAAATTCGTTCTTACTTTCTTTAAAACCAAGTTTTTTCTGTTTGTGTGAGCAAAGTTTTTTGCTTTTAACATATCAAAACGGACTACAATATTTTATACATTTGTTCCGTGTATGTAAAAGATGAAACAAGTAGGTGGTTTTAGTTCTAAGTTTCCAAATTTTATATATGTACTGAATTCGCTAGTTTTGGTTAAAATATAATAAGTCATTATACTATCTGATTTTTTAAAACAAATAAATTACTTACGAATTACTTACGCCTGTTACTCCTAATGGAGCATAGGCCGCCGACCAGCATTCTCCAACCCACTTTGTCCTGGGTCTTCTTTTCTAGTTCCATCCATCTCTTGTTCATTTTTCTCATGTCTATCTCTATTTCCTGGCGTAATGTGTTCTTTGGTCTTCATCTCCTCCTTCGACCTTGAGGATTCCAGGTGAGGGCTTGTCTTGTGACGCGGTTGGGTGCTTTCCTCAATGTGTGTCCTATCCACTTCCAGCGCTTCTTCCTGGTTTGTTCCTCCGCTGGTATCTGGTTTGCTCTCTCCCTTAGTATGTTGTTGCTAATAGTGTCCGGCCAACGGATTCGAAGTATTTTGCGTAGACAACTGTTAATAAACACCTGTATCTTCTGGATGATAGCTTTCGTGGTTTTCCAGGATTCCGCCCTTACAGTAGATCTGTGTTGACATTTGTATTGAAAATTCTGACCTTGGTGTTGGTTGCCAATTGTTTTGAGTTCCAGATGTTCTTCAGTTGTAAATATGCTGCTCTCGCTTTGCCGATCCCACGGATATCCGTCTCCGGCGGTAAGGTCTCAACAAGTACGGAGCTAACACAAAAACTTCTCAGAAAAAGGTCGTGTGTGACCGATCTCAAGCATTTGTCCCTTGGGCTTTGTGGTCACGCTCTCAAGTCACTATGACCACCTGTAATCCAATTTCCTTTTCAGGTACCTCCAGAAGAACACTTCCACCACCGTCGTTGGAGAGGGTCGATAGAATATTGCCGCTCATTCTGGAGTACCTGTTTGGACTCCGACCACGCACTAATACGAGCACACATCTGCTTGCGCCTCACTGGACGCAAAAAAGCCACTTTAAAAAGACCCATTAGGACTGAACAGAGTAACGAGAAAAGCAAAAATAGGTTCCAAGAACAACTGAGGTCACACTTATGTAGTTCTGAAAACGAGGCTGACCCAGATGTTGCTTGGAAAGTTATACAATCAGCTGTGGAAACAGCAGTGACATCTACCAGTGATTTAAACCACAGGGTTACAAAGAACCAATGGATTTCTTCAAGGTCTATTGCACTGATAGACTCTCGTAAACTCATCCCATCAGGATCTGAACACGATGAGGAGCGAAAGCAAGTCAGATCTAGGTTAACCAAAAGTCTAAGGAATGATCGTGAGCAGTGGTGGGCAACGAAAGCAAAAGAGATGGAAAAGGCGGCGGCTATAGGGAACACAAGACAGCTCTTCAGACTCACAAAAGAAACTGGGACTAAAATATCAGCTGTAAGTGAGACTATCTCGGAAAAAGACGACGTTCTTATCTTCTCCCAGTCCAGAAGTTTAGAACGATGGGCGGAACACTTTAAGGAGCAGTTCAGTTGACCTTCAGCTACTCTACAACTACCCTCCATTCCCAGACAGTGTGAATGGAACATTGAAGTAGGTCCTCCAACTCTAGTTGAAGTTCAAAAGGATATAGTTAATCTAAAACGAGGAAGGGCAGCTGGTCCAGATGGATTGGCTCCAGAGGTCTTTAAGGATGGTGGTCAAATTTCAGCGATGGTAAATCAGTTGATAAGGTTATGAATCTTCATCGACTGAGATGGTTGGGCCACGTGTTGCGTATGCCTGAACACCGATTACCACGGTGCGCAATGTTCACTGGTGTTAGGGATAATTGGAAGAAAGTTAGGGGCGGTCAAACCAAAACGTGACATCAGTGCTTGAAGACACTAACTTCTGGTTTGAGCCATGTTGGTAGATGCAGACTACCTGGTTGGGGTCAGCGTGACTATCGTAACCAATGGTTGGAGACTCTTGGTGACATGGCTCAGAATCGATCACAATGGCGTCGGTGTATACACTCCCTATCTTCCTTTAAACTAAGAGATTAAAATCGCTTCATATCTTTCTTTCTACGAACGAATTCTTTCTTCCTGTACTATCTCTTTATATGCAATCTTTCTTTTATATATTAACACCATTTAATTAACTACTTCTATGAATCCGGTGTTCATCTTGTTGTGCTAATGCGGTATGGCAACTTGGACCGATGCATATATGTGCCTGGTCCTACGTCGCAGCTGACTGACTGACAATTTTTTAATGTGTTCTACCCACCTGTGTCGTTGTGTTCTTCAATGTTGGTGATTACCTTGCCTTCCTTGTTTTTCACTGGTCGTTCCGGTTTACGGTGATTTCCAGAGAGTGTCTTTGTTGTGTCATACAGTTGTCTCATGTTTCCTTCTCTGGCACCCTTTTCCGCCGTCATTGCTAAATCTTCCACATATTTACGTTTGTCAGTTCTGATGCTCCTCTTCACTTGCTTGTTTACTTCTGTGTATTCAGCTTGTTCCTTGGCTTTTTCTGCTCTTGTTCGACTGGTATTGATTGCTGCTTTCTTGTTCCTCCTTTCTTGAATCTTATCCAGTGTATCGACCGTGATCCAATCCTTGTGATGGTGCTTTTTTTTGGCCCAGAACCTCATGACATGTTGAAGTGATTGTCTCTTTAATCTCTTTCCAATTGCTCTCCAGAGTAGTTCCTTCTCCATTGAGTAGATCATGAAAGGTCTGGAACTTATTGCTGAGGGTTAACTTGAATTTGTTGAGTTTGTCATTATCCTGAAGAAGAGCCGTATTAAACTTTTGTGATATTGTCCACCCCGTTGTCCAGTGCCTCTTGAGTTTCAATTTCATCTTGGCGACCAGCAAGTGATGATCTGATGCTATATCAGCTCCTCTCTTGGTTCTCACGTCTTCCGTCGTCCTCCTGAACGTTTTGTTGATGCAGATATGGTCGATTCGGTTTTGCGTAGTGTGATGCAGTGAAGTCCATGTGGTTTTGTGTATGCGTTTGTGTGGGAATATAGCGCTGCCTATGACCAGTTTATTGAAGGCACATAGATTTGCAAATCTCTCACCATTTTCGTTCCTTTCTCTGAGTCCGTGTCGTCCCATGATCTCTTCATATCCGGTGTTTTCAATTCCAACCTTGGCATTTAGGTCTCCCATCAGAATGGTCAGGTCCTTTGTTGGGCACTTCTCGACGATTGACTGCAGCCTATCGTAGAATTGATCTTTAGCGTCTTCATTGTAGTCGTTGGTAGGCGCGTAGCATTGGATGACGTTCATTGTAATGCCATTTTTCTTTGTTTTGAAGCAGACTTTGATGATCCTTGGTCCATGAGACTCCCATCCTATAAGTGCATTTTGTGCTCGTTTGGACAGCATCAATGCAACTCCTTGTGTATGTGGGGCATCTTCTTCATCGTGGCCGGAGTATAACAGCAGCTCCCCTGAAGCTAGTCGTTGTTGTCCAACTTGCGTTTGATGCGTTTCACAGATCCCAAGCACCTTTAGGTTGTATCTCCTAATTTCTGCAGCAATTTGGAAAACTCTCCCAGTCTCTCACATTGTACGAGCATTCCATGTACCTAAATAAATGGTTGCTCTGGTTGTTAGAAGGGGCATAGGCCTCGTCGCTTCCGAAGGAACTGGGCTTTCATCATGAGGCGTCATAATTCTTCTAAACGAAGACCTCCTGACTCCCAGGGCAGAGTTTAAATGGTTTGAATAATTTTTTTTGGTTAGCGTTTTTTTAGCGAGTTAGTTTTCTACAGGATGGGGTCGCTAACTCCATGCCCAACCCTCCTTTATCCGGGCTTGGGATCGGCAGTAGCCCACGGAGGGTCTCCAGGTGGTGGCCACAAAATAATCAACAACTATCCCTTCCATTTATTTTTGTCAAATATAATCTGTTGGTCAGTTTATTCCACATGCTTAAAATAAGTATTATGTCCATATTTCTGATTTCTGTCAACTTATGCATTTTTTATATTCTCTTTCATTGTTTACGAAGACTCTGTAGGCGTAATGTTACATGGTCTATAAAAGACTTTATAATAACGTGAATTACAAACTAGTATATTAATCACATCGTTTGGTTTTTATTCCTACAAAAGTTTACAATTTAGAGTCTCATAGATCTGTTTAAGCGTTTTCAAAACTTTGATAAATATTTGTACATATTTCATAAAAATAGGTTATCGATCTGTAAACAGTCCTTTGAAAGTTAAGTAATTTTGCTCGTAACTATTGGTTTGCATTTTAGAACCCACCTCACATTCTTTGATCGCCCCCAAATGCCCTGGTACGGCCGAGAGTGAGGAGAGTCCGCTCTCCCTCTCGAAATGCTCTCACATGGCCATGCGTATATAGCCTCTGTTAGGGAAGTCCTACTCACTGCCTTCTCGTGGCGGGGGTGTTGTTTACAAAAATGAGAGGACGAAAAGCGAATGTCCGGCGCTTTAACCGGATCCCAAACCAATGGTGCACATGGGCTCCAGTATCCTGCCTGAAGGAAAAAATGGCGTATGAACCAATCGTTGGTCACCGGCTACCATGGGACTGCATCTCCTCACGATTCTCCACTGCCTTGTGGGTCAGACGTCCAGGTCGAAGGCTCGGGGTGTGGCCCCCTAAGAAAACCACCTGCTTCGGTTTGGGCACCCGGGCAGTAATACAGCCCTCACACAAATCAATTGAGATTCGTGTGGCGCATATGTATTTGGTGCCTCCCTGTACCTATACTTGTGTTAAAATAATAATAAATAAATACATTCTTTGATCTGTTCAACTTGGTAATATCACCAACCTTCACACAAAAGTTTTAGTTCGAAGCCGAATATAGGAGCTTGTATCTAGTTGCGTAGTTTGCAAAGTCTGGTTAAGTGATTGATTCGTAATTTAAAGCAGTTTTTGTTAGTGTCAATGAATTAGATGCAACATTTTTCAATGCTGATTGATTAATACTTATTAAGCAAGAATAAGGTTATTTCCAGTTTATGCCAACCAAAAGCATTCATATCAGGTTCACTGAATGCTTACATTGAAATATAGAACATCAATCCCCAGTAAATTATACCAGTTCTATGTAGAAACAGACATTACCAGCATCACTCAATTCCATAAAATATCTTTTGGAAAGCCTTTCCCAACAGTAATCTTGTAAAGTTGACAGTTCAGCTACAAGTAAAGTCATTGTTTCCAAGTTTCTATTGTTCACTTTTTCATTAATCTCTCTTAAAAACAAAACAGCTAAATGTGTTCAAGACTCAATCGAATGTAACGAACAGTCATGTAATCAAAATCTTGATGCAACAAGTAGACCAAAATCACGAAGAAAAAGCCTGCTTCGTAGAGATCCAGATTTTGAGCGGCACCTTTCAGAAACAATCGACTGTGTTCTATCTCAATTTACGAATCCCGATGCCGGCGACCACAATTGCCAGTCGACTGAACATACTGGGAGTGACCAACAGTTTAAACGAAATACTAATCACCGGTATGAGTTTAGGCGTTCCTCGCGCAGTATACCATCTTTACAAAAAATGATCTCAATAAAGGAAGCAGAGCTTGCTGCGTCTGAAAAAAATAACCTTGAGACTGTTATGGATTCTCCTCAAATTTCTACAACTTCAGCAAGCAACCCTGTAGATACCTTAATAGAAAATGTTCCTGAACGTCCCAAGTCCTACTATCGCCCGAAAATCGATCTTTTTAAACTCAGTGAAACTATTTTGGGTGAATCATAATTTTTCTACTTCTGTATATTTGTGTACATAAAATATATTTCCAGTCGTTTGCTTCTTTTATATTGACTTTTTATAAATCAGTGATAGTTATGTCTTGTCTAGGTTAGCTAGTTAGATTTGATGCCGACTTAAAAGCATGTAAATACATTGGTTTTCTTTTATTAAACTTAGGCTTGAGCATATGATAACGTACACCTTGGCGTACATGATGTAATGAAATTACTAAAACACGTTATCATCAGTATTTTGAACATCTTTCAGCACTTTTTAGTGACATGCCAACATTCTGACTGTTTCATTTATTGTAAATGACTGGCGTTTCTAGAAGGAAACTGTATCTACATCCATGTGTTTATTTCTAATCATTTAGTGTTATACACTATTGATTCTTTTGCATCTTTAATTCGAAGTCATGTACATTAAAAGAATGAAGCCTTTTACTACATGTAATACTCTAGGTGTTATGAGGTTTAAAATTTATATTAGCTTATCATGGTGTAGATGCAGGTTTGTTTAGTCACTCATGTTTTCGTTTAACGTTTATTCGACCCCGTATAGGTATTGGTCGAAAATATCTTCAGTTTCAGGTAACCCTCAGACTGCAGAACCAATACTTTCGTAGATCAGAATGAAGGTAAAAATCAGGAAATTTCCTCACTAAATAGAATCGGAAAATGCAGAAGATTGATTGAATTTTTATCTACAATGTTAACAAACAAGTCGACGATATACAAAGTCCGTTGCACTAACCGCTCCATGAGTCACATTATTTCAAATCCAAAAGGTGCTACATGGTGAGCAGCCCTTGTACAAGTAACAAGTTGGGGATTACAGTCCTCTGTAAATCTGTGCGGTTATGGGGATGTACACTGTCTAATGGTACAAAAGTGTTCAACAAAGAATAATAGTTTCAAGGCTTTTCTATTCAAGTGATTAGTGCGTTATGAGTGAATTGCTCTGATATTCCTATTCAGTCACAAGTTTTATCAACTTTGATTATCGGCTTGGGTGGAATTTAGGACCCATATTTCGGCTTATTAGAAATATATCGACAACGATAGAATACAATCTCTCAAACAGGTCGATGATTATCAAAACTTAGCAGCTCAATGCATAATGCGTTGTGAGGCGATGGACATGTTTTTAGACATCATTTTGGAAATCCTCATTGAAATGTAGACTTATTCAGCTGACGATCCCAAAATGTTCTCACAACAAGCCACAATTCTGCCTCCCGGAGGATCGTATATTTCAATGACCTTATAACATGCGTGCGCCAACGCAAGCTTGCATTGAGTGAGCTTCAATCCAATCTATGTCCCGCCAACACACTATAAAGTTTTAGGACTCATATTATGCAGTGATCTAAAAACCACTAGCCACTGTAAGGCTGCTGCTGCGAAAGGCTATATGGTATTATGGTCTGTTCATAGGTCTTTCCAGTATTTGGATAATGAAATGTCTAGATTATTATGCCCCGAACTCCCAATTTTGTGGAAAATTTGACCCATTTTGGGGAAATTTCGGAGAAGCCGCTGTAGTGCCATCCCCCCAAAATTTCCCCAGATCTGTGGAAATTCCCCTTTTATCTTGGTGAAGGTCACTTGACTTCCGGAGTTTCCCCAAAATCGGGAGCTCGGGGCCCGATTTACGTACAACCACATTCAAGCATGAAGCAGATATGTTGGAAAGAGTCCGGACTCACGTTGTTGTTGGTCAACAAGGTACTAGGATGCTAAAAGGTCTATCTGACCTATCATATGAAGACAGACTGAGACGCCTTAACTTATTTCTGCCATCATACCGTAGAATACAGGGTGATTTAATATTGGCTTATCGTATACTGAACAATGATCTTGTTATTAACATGTCTTATCTTTTACTTCAGTCTAGGACTGATCGTTTGAGAGGACATGCGAGGAAAGTTCAAAAACCGAGATCAAATCGTTTACTTTTATTTCTTTTCCCGCACCGAGTAGTGAATCACTAAAATTCTCTACGTAATATCAGCACCTTCTGTTGATAAATTCAAAACGGTATTATAAACTACAAGGATTAATATAGGTCGGACTATGACCGGCGTGAAAGAAAATCATCGTGTGGTTTGCGTGACTACTACGATTTTAAAATATTATTACTAATAGCTTTATTCAATATTGCACTCTTGGTACAAATCGAATTCTCAGCAAGCGTATCTTAACAATTTTCGTACTTATTGGTTGGTCCTGCAGGATCAAAAATATCGAATGTTTGCCAGTTAGAAGTTATCATTTCAGGAATGTACATCTTAATAATGTACACTGTTTTCGATGCAAATTGTCAGCAACTATGATGTCTCTGGGTTTTTGGTGACTTGTACTGTAGCACGTACTATCAGAGTTCGCTGTTTGTTCTTTCCACTAAGCCGTTACTTTCTGGGTGGTATGCGGTAGTGTGCGTTTTGCGAATCCTCAATAATCGGCATACCTAGGAGACGAGATGGCTTTCAAAAGCTGAACCTTGGTCAGAATGGAGTGAGAATGGGGCGCCGTACTGAGATACCCACTGATCAATAAAAGCCTGAGTGACTGTGAGGGCATCATGTTGTGGTATAGGAACAGCTTCACACCATTTGGTAAAATAGTCTACTATAACCAGCATATAGCGGTCTCCGTTATGAGTCGCCCTGTCATATCGATACCAACTCGCCGATGTCGACCTGTCGTCATTGGAACTAAGGGTGCACAGGGTATTTGTCGGGGCGACTTAATGGCATAGCACGTGCTACAATTTTTGCGGAATTCCGCTACGTCTTCATGGATAAATGGCCGCCAAAACCTCTGGCAGATCGCATGTTCGGTCTTCCGTTTCCCTGAGTGCCCAAGTTCTCGGTGAACCTGCTTCATAATATTCAAGACTTGTTCACGTGGTACTATCAACAGTGGCTGTTTTGATTCACTGGCTATATATAACGTGATTCCATACAATCTCAGACTGCTTCACTTGGCACGAAGACGGCGCGTCGCCAAGGAATGGTCCTTCAACTCTGCCATAGATTGTTTATTATTTCCATGTAGTTGCCTTTGATAAATGAATCGCAGATCAGGGTCTGCTGCTTGAAGAGACGGCCAGTCGATTTCGGGGGCTGTGCTAAGGACAGCTCCGATGGTATTAGGAGAATAGGGTATGCGAGACAGAGAATCGGCGTTTGTGTGTCGGCTTCCGGCTCGGTATTCGCATGTAAAATCAAACTCCTGCAGCCTCTCCTGCCAGCGCTCCCTGATTTCCTGTTTCATGGAACGAACGAAGTCACTGTGGTGCACGGTGGTCTGTGCGTACACAAAAGGGTCATCCTAGGAGATAATCGCAAAAATGCTGCAAACTTTTACCAAAGCCGGCATCTCTCGGCGCGTCGTAGAATCCCTTGTCTCTCTCTTATATAGCCGCCGACTAGCGTACGCTATGACCCACTCCTGTTCATATTGTGCCATTTGAGACAGGACTGCTCCAATAGCTGATGAGTTGGCATCTGCATCAAGTATAAACTTATCCGCTTTAGCCGAAGTGTCCGGAAGAGCCAGTATGAGTGGAGCAGCAAGACATGACTTCAAATTGCTAAATGCTTTTTAGCATTCTGTAATCTACACAAATTTTCGTCTTTTATGCGTCAGGCGATGTAAGAGTGTTGCCAGGGATGCGAAATCGCGTACAAAGCGTCTGTAGTAAGAAGCGAGCTGCTTAATACGTTGTAGAACTGCCCTAAAATTGGCATTATGCTTCTCTGGCGTGCTGCCATACACAATAATATCACCAAGGTAAATTAAGCACTTGTGCGGTACGAGACCATGTAGGACTGTCTGCATCAATCGTTGGAAGGTGGCTGGGGCATTAGTTTGTCCGAGTTGCATCCCTTGAAATTTATCAAGTCCGTTTGGTAAGACCAATGCAGTCTTCTTTCTGTCCTGGGGTCGTACTTCTACTTGCCAGTACCCGGATGCTAGGTCTAAAATCGAGAACCAACACACACCTTTCATAACGTCTAACGTAGCATCAATCCGCGGAAGTGAAAAGGAATCACGCTTTGTTATAGCATTAAGGCGACGATAATCTGTACATAATCGGAGTGAGTAGTCTTTCTTCTTCACTAGGACAACGGGCGAAGCCCAGGGTGACAGGGATGGTACAATAATCTTTTTCTCTGGCATCTCTTTTATCATTGATTTTAACTGAATCTGATAGTGTACTGGTACTCTGCGAGGTGGTTGGCGCAATGGCATGTGGTCACCTGTAAGAATGGAATGTTGTACCTTGGTCGTCCGAGTTCCAGAGCTATTCTCCAAAAAAAGAATTAAATTGTTGGAATGCGTCAATGGTTGCTCGGTGGTTCTTTTCGCGTATTAATTGATCATCCTGTATCTGACGTACAATATCTGAAATTCCCACTTGGGCTACGGGTTCAGTTGACATTGCATGGTGTTGTAGCTGGACGACAACCCCACCAATTTTCGCTTCTGATTTATCCATGTGCATGAAGACCTGATATTTTAGCATGAAGTCAACCTCGAGTATCATGTTCCAAGTCAATGTGGGGCAAACCAATAATTCATGTTGAAAAGAATTCTTGTCTATCGTTGGCTCCAACCATGTCTTATAACACTCTTTCAGAGGGTCTCCGCTTGCCGTGATTAATGCAGAGGAGCATTGTTTCCGCTGCGTCTTGTCGTTGAGCTTTTGTAAGAAGTCTTCCTTGATCAGGGATACTGAGGCCTCCGTATCTAATGGTATATCAACCTCCGTATCTTGCTTAACATAGCAAGAAGATATATGATAACGACGGGTTCTACCTCTGTTCTGTACACGATTATGCCTGGAGAAAGCTTGGGTAGTTGCTAGCTGTAAAAAATGGAGGTAGTCGATGGGTTCTTCACTCGTCGTCTGGATAGTTGTCGGCTGATTATCCACCGTTAAAGAAAGGCATTCGTCTAATATTCTCCAATTTTGGGACGGTGAATTGGGTGCGG